GGGGTTGGGGGGCAGTGCTGGAGGCTCTCTCACAACTCAGGCCCAACCCTGTTCAGCATCCCTCCCCCACCCTCCTTCCACCAAGGGTTTGAGGCCAGGAGTTGCTGCCCCCTTCCTGGCCAGAGCTCAAAGGCCTACAGAGTAAGAACAGTCACCAGGGAGACATACGGGACAAACAGCTAAAACACGGAAGCTTTGCTCCTGGGGATGTCCAGGATTTCTCATGAAACCCAGGCCACCATGGAGCAAGCAGTTGGTTCTGCAGAGAGTAATCTGCCTGTAGCTGGCCTCATCCCATAGTGCCCACTGCTATAGCAGCATCTGTTTGAGCTGGCATCCCTGGACCTGGTCACAGACCACTTTTTCTGGGCCAGCCAGTTAGGGTCTGGCCATTTCCAGACAAGAAGCTGGTCATTCAGGTCTAAAAACAGACTTGCATTCATTAAGAAACAGAGCACCCCTGTGCTCCTGGTGGCCACCCTCCACCGGGCTTGCTGTGGGAGGGCCCACAGGCAGCCTCAGCTGCTCAGACGCCCCCACTCAAGGCTGCCAGGGGGCGTGGCTACCCTTGGGACAAGTCTGCTCTGTCCATCCATGGATGCCATCCAACGCACCCCATTCCAACCATCCTCACAGCCACCTCAGAATCCCTCTGGCTTTGTGCATCCTCCAGGCTCTTCTCAGGACACAGGCAGGTTTGAAGGAGTCTTAGGGTCCTGAAAGAGCCTGGGTTTGGGGGCAGAAAGAGAGTCAGGCCTAGAAGTACCTCTCACTGTTGAGGGGCCTTGGAGAAGCCACACTCTATCTCTGGACCTAGTTACTCTCTACAAAGGGGCGATAAAGCCTCACCCCAGGAAGGCAAGCAAATGTTGTCTGAGGGAAAAACAAAGCACAGCCAGGAACTGGGTGAACTGCAAATGGCCACTGACCCTTCTGTGATCAGAAGAACCCCTATCCTAGGAGAGGCTGGCAGGATAACAGTCCTCAAAGGCCACCAGCCTCTCTGCCTCACTCCTACAAACATCAATTAAATGTCTGCTATTCGCTCAGTTCTGTGTAAGTGCTGTGTATACCAAGAGGGATAAGGCAAGCTACTATCCCCAAAATGCCTGGTGGGAGAGGCAGACATGAAGCAAATATTTACATAAATCAATACATAATTATAACTGTGTAATATATGCTATAAAAGGAGGGCACAGCGTCCTAAGAGGACCTCTATCAGGGAGTCCAGACTCAATTGTGGAAAACAGGGAAGATTTCCCTAAGAAGCAGTAGCATTTTGAGCTGATAGCCAAAATGAGAGAGTGACAGAGGAGTCATTGTAGAGGGTTTATGATGGATGTGCAAAGGCCCTGAGGTCAGAGGTGTGTAACATGTATGAGGAACATAAACAGAGCCTTTGTGTCTGGAGGGTGGAAGTGCTGAAGTGGTGAGCAATGAAGCTGGAGAGGGTGGCAGGGCTAGATCATGCAGGGTCCTGTGGACCCCAGTAAGGGTTTCTATTATTTTCTTTTTTTTTTAATTTTTTTTAACGTTTATTTATTTTTGAGACAGAGAGAGACACAGCATGAACGGGGGAGGGGCAGAGGGAGAGGGAAACACAGAATTGGAAACAGGCTCCAGGCTCTGAGCCATCAGCCCAGAGCCCAACGCAGGGCTCGAACTCACGGACCGCGAGATGGTGACCTGGCTGAAGTCGGACGCTTAACCGACTGCGCCACCCAGGCGCCCCTCTATTATTTTCTTAAAAGCAACAGGGAATCAATAAAGGGATTTAAATGGGGAAATACACAATCAAATTTGTATCTTAAACAATCACTCTGAGGGGCACCTGGCTGGATAAGTCAGAAGAACATGTGACTGTTGATCTCAGGGTGGTGAGTCTGAGCCCCACGTAGGGTGCAGAGAATTACTTAAATTAAAAAAAAAAAAAAAAAAAAGTCACTCTGACACACAGATTTGCTTCAAAGTAACCCAAAGGAGGTGGGAAAGGGGGAGTAGAGGTGAATATTGATGAAAGAGGGACAATCTTCTGTTGATGGGTATTGTAGCTGGGTGATGCATACATGGGTATCCACCCTGCAATCTCTCCTTTTTTGTATATGTTGAAAATTTTCCGTGGAGACAAATCAGCTAGCAGACTGTATTCCAGCAGAGAGATGATGTCTCAGACTTGGTGGCAGTGGTGATGGAGGGCCAGGGATGGATTCAGGATATATATTTCCGAATAAAAATCAACCTGACTTGGTGATCCATTGGATATGGATCCATGGATATGGAAAAAGTGCCAAATATTACTGTAGATTTCTGGCTTAAGCAAGTAGAATACTACTCTGCCTTGCTAAGATGAAACAGGGAAAAACATATTGTAAAAAGAGCATATTTGAAGGAAACAATCATGAGTTCAGTCTTGAAGATGTGTGAGAAACATTTAAGTGAAGATGTCAAGCTATACGTGAGTAAGGAGCTCAGGAGAAAGGTCAAGACTAAAGGGATAAATTCCTGAGTTATCGGCCCATGAATGAATACAGGAGCTAGGAAGATCCCCCAGGGAAAGTGGATACACAAAGAAGAGAAGCTATCAACAAGGGTGCCAAAACCAAGTCAATAGGAGAAAAATTAGTCTCTTCAACAAACGGTGCTGGGACAACTGGATATTCACATGCAAAAGAATTAACATGGACCCCTATTGCACAGCATATATAAAAATAAGCTCAAAAATGTCAGAGCTAACACGAGACTTTTAAAAGAAAACAAGTGTTGGGGCACTGGGGTGGCTTAGTCAGTTAAGCATCTTACTTCGGCTCAGGTCACGATCTCACGGTTCATGGGTTCAAGCCCCACGTGGGGCTCTGTGCTGACAGCTTAGAGCCTGGAGCCTGCTTCAGATTCTGTGTCTCCCTCTCTCTCTGCCCCTCCCCCACTTGCACTCTGTCTTTCTCTTTCAGAAATAAATAAAAACATTTTAAAAAAAGAAAACAAGTGTAAATCTTTGTGTTCTTTGATTAGGCAACTTTTGCCTAAGATATGACACAGAAAGCACAAGACAGAAGATAAATTGAGCCTCACCAAAACTGCAAAATTTTGTGCAGCTAATGATATCAAGAAAGTGAAGACAACCCACAGAAGGGGAGAAAACATTTGCAAGTCATGTATCTGGTAAGTGACTAATATCCAGAAAATTAAATAACTCCTACAATCTTGAAAATATTATACTAAGTGACATAAGCCAGTTACCAAAGACAAAACTATATGATTCCACTTATATGAAGTATCTAGAGTAT